TATATATATATTATATTTATATACAAAGAAAATAAATAAAAATATTCACAAAAATATTAAAAAATAAAATATGTGAGAAAATATTATTTTATATGTATAAATAATAAAAATAAAAATATATAATATTTTTATAATATTTACAAGTTTTTTATTTAAGAAAATAAATGTATTAAACTTAATAAACTAAATATTATGTCAAAAATAAAATAAAATAAAATATGAAAATTTAAGAAAATATTTTTGATAATTTTTAATGTTTAGAAAAATAAATAAAAGTCAGAAAATGAAAATAGAAATAGAAAATATGAAAAAATAAAAACAATGGGCCAAGGGGGTGTAGGAAGTAAACAGGGGGTGTCAACAGCAGAAGCAAGCAAGCCCAGCCCATTTCCACTTCATCCCTGTCCTTGTGAAACAGAAAAACGTGCGCCCTTGTTCAAATTCGTATCTTCTGCATTTGTGCTTAAAAACAAAAACTTGCAACATAAAAATTATAGAGCATTAAACCACGATTATAACCATATAAAAAACTTGATCTAACTCTCAAAGACCAGAGAGAATTTCTTTGGCCCTAAATCTTGACCTAGTTTTTTCAGAAAGTTCAACTATCAAATACTCCTAGCTCAGTTAACATAAATGAATTCTAAGCATATGTACAGTTCAAGGGCAATGAGGAGTACATTTTTGCTTCACAAACCTAAGCTTAATGATTCCTAAATAAGGAGATAGAAGTTTGAACTTTACCTGTTTCAGTCAAGCTCGAGTATGACAATGCAGCAACTTTCAGTGAGGTCTGAGATTCTTTTGAGTTTGCTTGATGTTCCCTTGACCTTCCCCAATGCTTGACTTGCTTTAAAATAGCTTGAATATGCTTGTAGAACTCAACCTGCAAACTCAGAATTTGAAAATGGTGAAGTGTGTAAATGGAGTTACAATGACTTGAGAATGGTTAGGATAGTTTAGGTATATTCTATGGAGTGTGTTGGAACTGGTTTGAGACAAAACGCACGAGGCAATGTGAAGATGGAAGTGATTCTGCAGGGCCTGCCCTGTTTTTGCAAGAACTTGTGATTTTGTGCTTAAGGGTGTTTGAGAGGCTTAGGACTCGTGTTTCTGGCTTGGTATGTTGTGCTGAAGTTGGTTGAAATGTGTACAAAGCTTGGTTATATCAGATTCACCAGATATGGACTTTTGGCACAAGGACTTGGTTTTGAAGAAAAGGTGGGAAGTGATAATGCTAAGGCTGTACAGGCTTGTACTCTAGCTGCACATAGTTGGTAAACCTTTTCTGATCTTTGTGGATGTGGTTTGCTGCAAAAGATTAAGTCCAATGCTCAAGACAAACAAAATTGTAAAAGTTGTGCTTTATGTAAATGGCAATGTTTCCTTTTTGCCATTTTTAGATTAATTCCTTGTACAATGCCTTAAAGCTCAGAATAAAGCCTTAATCCAATGTGTTTGCATTTAATTTATGAGTGTGGAAAGGTTTAAGGACCTGTAAGCAAGTACAAGCATGGTTTGGACAGAATTGCAACTTGAAGCATGGTGTAAAATGCCTTGGCCAAAAGTGATATTTTGCCAACTAATGCACCACCTAAAATAAACATATCTTGCTGTGAATTTTCGATCCTCAACATCACTACACCAACTCAAATCAGTGTACCTTACAGTGTACCTTACTAGTTTACATTCTTTTTCTTTATCAGTTGTAGGAAATAAAATACCATAGTCAAGATTTCCTTTGAGATATCTTAGTATCCTCTTCACTGCTGCTAGATGTAATACCTTTGACTTCTACATGAATATACTTACCATACATACACTGTATGCTATGTTGGACTTCGTGTGAGAAAGGTATCTTAATGACCCAATAAATCTTCTGTATTAGATTGGTTCGACATCATCTTCATCTACATCTTTCGACTGTTGCAACCTTGGTTTTGCAGGTGTCGAAGTCGAGTTGCATTTTTTCATCTCAAGTCTCTTGAGAATTTCTCCTGCATATCTTCTTTGATGCATCATCAAACCTCTACTGCTCTTGTAGAATTTGATGCCAAGGAAATATGAAATATTATCCAGATCAGACATTTCGAATTCCTTGCTGAGATCACATTTGAAGTCTTCGATCTCCTTCTTGTAACTACATGTTATTAACAAGTCATCGACATAGAGATATAGTATAAACAATTCATTATTGATTCTTCTTACATATACTTCATATTCAGTTTTACACTTCAAAAATTTCTTCTCCCTTAAAAAACTATCAATCTTCTTATTCCAAACTCTTGGAGCTTGTTTCAATCCATACAGAGCTTTATGCAGCCTATACACCTTTCTTTCTTCGTCATGTTTCACAAACCCAACTGTTTATTTAACAAAAATTTTCGTCTAAGGAAACATTTAGGATTGCACACTTCACGTCCATCTAAAATATGTGCCAACTATTTATTTCTGCTAGACCAACAATCAACCTGAGTGTTTCAATTCTAACAACAGGTGCAAAAACTTCATCAAAATTTATTCCTTCTTTCTGGAGAAATCCTTTCACCACGAGTCTTGTTTTATGTCAAATTACTTCCCCTTTGAGGTTCATCTTCACTTTGTATACCCATTTGACATCAATCGCCTTCTTGCCTTGAGGCAATTTGACAAGTGACCAAGTGTTGTTATCTTTGATGAACTACACTTCTTTGTTCATTGCTTTCATCCACTTCGAATCCTTCAATGCTTTAGCTGCACTGGCTGGTTCGACATTTGCATAGAAAACATAATGTATCATCTCACCTTTGTTATCAACCACATCATCTGATGTACTCACACAATCATGCAACCTTGCAGACATGTGTCTTGTTCTTTGAGGTCTGCTTGTACTTGATTGTTCTCTAACTACTTCCTCTTGTCGAACTTCTCTTTCGACTTGAGTTTTTGTTAGTTCTTCAAGTAAGATTCTCACTTAATCTTTTTTGACATTTTCAGTAAAATCTCATTCTTTAAGTTCATTTATGATCATGTCCCTACTAGTCATAACCTGCTTATTCATTGGGTCAAACGACTTGTAACCTCCTGTCGAATGATATTCAATTAGGATCATTTGACTCGACTTGCCATCAAGTTTTCTTCGCAACTAATCTGACATATGTCTATGTGCTATAGATCTAAATACCTTCATATGACTCAAGCTAGGCTTCACACCATACCAACATTCTTCTGGAATAATTCCTTTCAGCTTCTTCATCGGACACATGTTCAATATGTATGTTGCAGTTAACACAGTTTCACCCCAAAACTCTTTAGGTAAATATTTGTCTTTTAACATACTTCTCACCATATTCATGATAGCTCGATTATTCCTTTCTACAATTCCATTCTTCCGTGGAGTGTAGGGTGACACTATCTCATGCACAATTCCTTTTTTTTTACATAATTTGTCAAAATCTTTCAACATGTATTCTCCACCACCATGAGTTCTCAAAACTTTGAGCTTTCAACCACTTTATCTTTCGACCACTTTATCTTTCGACCATAGACTTAAACTTGACAAATACTTCAATCACCTCACTTTTCTTCTTGATCAGATAAGTCCATAATTTTCAACTAAAACCATCTATATGAATGTAACAAATTATTTATCACCTCCCATCGAATCCACCTGAATTGATCCACATACATCAAATTATATGACTTCGAGAATAGCCTTTGACTTGCTTTTTACATCCTTGTTGAAGCTATTCTTGTGCTGCTTTGCCTGCACACATTCCTCACACATTTCGTTTGAAATGTCGATTTCTAGAAATCCTGAAACCATATTTCTTCTCTTCAAATCTTTGATGTCTCTGAAGTTGAGATGGCCTAGTCGATAGTGCCATATTCATTCATCTCTGCTAGCTGCAATCGAAAGACACTTCTGCTCCATCACATTAAGATCAATCTTAAATATTCTATTTTGAGACATGGGAGCCTTCAAGATTAATCTTACATTTAAGTCGACGACTCTCATCATCTTAAACAAGCAAGAGATTGGTTAAAATAAATATTTTCCAAAATAGTCTTGCATCATTCTACTTGCTCCGCCCAACTTTAGTTACTGAGACACTCTATAAACATATGATTTTGTGTTATTTTTAAATTTTAGTCACGTCAACTATTGTTTTGAATGTATTTTATATACTATGTTCATGAACTTGAAGAAATTGTGATGATCAAATAACACTACTCAGTTTTAAGTCAAAGTGAACTGTTTCCCAATGGAGATGTAAGGCAGATAGAATGTTATACAAGTTAATTACTTAGAAGTAGAAAGCAAAACTGAATCATACTTTCTGCATTCCAAGTACTAGAGAGCACGCCTTAAATTTAATCACTTTCTTTGATAAAGTTATTAACTAATTTGTTAGTGTAGTTGCTTTTGTGAAATCATGTGCACCATCTGACTGCACGCAGCAAAAAACCAACTTCAGCACAAGTTGGAGTTAATGTCCACGTGGTTTTCTGATGATGCAGTGGTGTAGAATAGGGCAGTTAGTATTCATCCAGCTGTCTGGTGAAAGATCTCGGTATTAAAAACATCAATAGGGTAATAAAAATTCATCCAGATGTTTTTCTTAAATTTGATGTGCAAATACCAGTTTCAATTCAACTAAAAGTAGCAAGGAATGAAAAATCCAATCCAATAAAAGCCAAAGTGAACCCGTCATGCTTGAAATTAGTTGGTTTCAAGTGAAGAAAAAAAACAGCAGTAGAGAGGGTGGGGAATACATTGCCTACTACTAATAGAGTTGAGTCCCACATCGAAAGAAGGTGAAAGGTATCGAGATAAGCAAGAGTATAAAACAACTTGAATTCCATTATTGCAAATTACTTACCTGGATGGGGTCAATGGTTGATCATGAAGGATCATGGCCTAGGAGAGTGACCTCCATTGCACTTAGGAGGGGTGCTGTTCTAAGGTCTATTCAAGTGGTGGAACCTACATCATAATTTGTTGCAGAAAAAAAAGGTTTATGCAGTATTTTTTGAGAGGCCTACTGTTTAGGGAGCAGGTAAACTCTTCATAATTGTCAGATTCAACTTCATTTACTTGATGCCAAAATGTGTAAAACAAATGCTGGCAAAACACCATTAGCGTTATTATGAAATGCTAGGAAAAACAGATTAAGTGAACAACAAAAAAGTAGTTTATCAAAAGAGAGAATGAGGACATTCTGTAAAATAGTTAACATTCATTCTTAAAAATAGTTCACTAATATCAAAACTGATATTTATGAATGAATAGAAAAATGAACAGAAGAGCATTGTTGGAGCTTATATTGGAACAAATAGATGTAAACAATTTGCTTCTTAAATTGAATATGGCTTCCAACAAATAAGTTTCAGGATGGGTGGGAATTCACTACTGCAGTACTCACCAAGTGTTGTGGGCTGGAGGTGGAACAACCTTTGATCCCTCCACTGTCAGGAGCATTAAGTTGGAACATAGTATTGAGAATGTTATACTACTCAAATATGTTACCATGATGTTACAATACACCTGTAGAGGGTTATTAGACCAAATTAGTCGCTGCATATATAGAAGGATTAAATCTATTCAGAAAGTTATATCAAGACTAAATAATACACTCAAAAAAATGATCCAAAAAACAATGAAGTAGTGAAATGCAGCATTTAATCCAGGAAAGTAATGAACGGGGAGATTATTAGGAAGATACCATCAATTTCTTTTTATCTTCGAAATTGGAAGCTTCGAACTTGAAGAATTTTTTCCTCTCAAACTAGGTGTTGCAGATTATAATATCTTATGGAAAATATTTTGTTTCTGCCATGCCTATCTTGTCTTTACTAGGACAAAGTCACCAAACCTTTAATCCTTATTTTAATAAGCAATTAAGTAATAAAGGAAAATATTAACTAAATCCAGCACAATGATTTTTGTATGTATGCATGTTTATATGTTGCAAAATATATGTGAAACAACAATTCTAGAGTAGAAACTTAATCTCTATTGCAGATTGAAGAATATATTGCCATTCAGATATGTCAAGGGCAATATAAAAGAAGGAAAACTGTTAAGATAATAGTAAGCTTTTTCTCAAGCATTTTCATCATATCTCAAGCATTTTGATTCAGTCCCATAATATGGTATATTGTTGATGTTCAACATTTTGACTTAATCAGTATGGATCAAACAAAAGTACACATTTTGAAGTTCAATATACAAAATGACACCTCATGTAATGTGAACGGGACAATAACTTGACCATACAACTGTCAATGAGGATATCTGTCATTTATGTTGTTTCCTATTTTATGTTTTGAGAAATCAGAAAATAGAATCAAGAATATTCCTATTTGAATGTATAAAATTAGACTTCCTAATTTAGGTTGTACAACTTAGAAAATAGAGTGAATTAGTCATTATTACTTGTAAATGTAATTGTATTATATATAGAAGAGAATAGAAATAGAGAAGGCATCAAGCCAATTACATTTGACGTGGTATCTTGGTTTTCTGGTTCGTGTTGTGCTGCTGTAGCGCATTCGGGTCCTGTCTCTTGTTGTAGCACATTTCTTCTTGTTGTTCTGTGTCTGCAACGTTGTTGTTTTTTTTATTGTTCTATCTCTGCAACGTTGCTGTTTTTTTTTCTGTGCTATCCTTTTTTTTTATCAGATTGCTTTGCTCCTCATGGCTTCAGAAAAGACTTTCGACAACTTCTGTGTCTGCTTTACGGGCAAAAATTATGGAGCTTGGGAGTGTCAGTTCCAAATGTTTGTGAAAGGAAAAGGCCTTTGGGACGACCATGTAGATAAGTTCACTGCTCCGACAGACAGAACGGCATTGACGGTGTGGCAAACAAAGGACGCCCAAGTTACAACTTGGATTCTGGCTTCTGTTGAACCTCACATGACCAACAACCTACGTGCTTTCTCTACTGCTAAAGATATGTGGGACTATCTAAGGCGTATTTATAATCAGGACAACATTGCCAAACGGTTCCAATTGGAGCTCGACATTGCTAACTATCGTCAGGGAAATCTCTCTATCCAAGACTATTACTACGGGTTCCTTACTCTTTGGGCGGATCATTCAACTATCTTACACGCCGATGTTTCTAAAGATTCACTCACTGCTGTCCAAAAAGTTTATCAAATTAGCCAGCAGGACCAATTTCTCATGAAGCTTCGACTTGAATTTGAAGTTGTGCGTGCAGCTTTGCTGAATAGGAATCCAACCCCTTCCTTGGATGTTTGTCTTGCGGAATTACTTTGAGAAGAGCAGCGTCTTCTGACCTTATCCCGTGATGACTTTGCTGCTGATCCTGTCTCTGTTGCCTACACTGCCCAAAGTAAAGACAGAGGTCGTGATATGTGACGAGTTCAATGCTTTTCTGGCAAGCAACTTGATCATCTCGCTCGGAATTGTAATAAGAAATTTTGCAACTATTGTAAGCAACATGGTCACATCAACATAGATTGCACAACTAGACCACCGCGGAAGCCATTGCATGCTTTCTAGTGCTGCTCCCTTGACTCCAGAGGCCGTACAACAAATGGTACTTGCAGCCCTTTCTGTCTTGGGTCTTCATGGTAAGTTTAAAACTGCATCTCAACCTTGGCTTGTTGATTCTGGGGCCTCTAACCACATGACTGATTCCCCTGAAAAATTACACAACGTTCATACTTATCATGGCACCCAAAATATCCAAATTGCCGATGGTAATACTCTTTCTATTTTTGCTGTTGGATACATTAATTCCTCCTTTCGAGATGTGTTTGTTTCCCCTAGGCTTGTTTCAAATTTGATTTCAGTTGGACAATTGGTCGATAACAATTGTAATGTTAATTTCTCTCGTGATGGTTGTTCTGTGCAGGATCAGACGTCGGGGAAAGTGATCGCGAGGGGGCCTAAAGTGGGCAGACTATTTTCTCTTCAGTTTTCTTTGTCTAATATTTTGTATTTTGCTTGTAATGGTGTCCCGAATAAGTATGAGGACATGCATAAAAAATTGGGTCTCCCAAACTCAGTTGTTTTGGCTCATATATTGAAAAGTGGATTGTTGAGTAATAAAATTGTTATTCCTAATTCTGTATTTGATTGTTCTGTGTGCAAACTTGCTAAAAGCAAGACTCCTCCCTTTCCCTCTATAGCTCATCATGCCAATAAATGTTTTGATCTTATTCATAGTGATGTTTGGGGTATGTCACCAGTCTTGTCTCATGCAAAGTATAAATACTTTGTAACTTTTATTGATGACTATAGCCGAACTACATGGATCTATTTTCTTCGCTCTAAATCCGATGTCTTTTGTATGTTTAAAAAGTTTTTGGCATATATAGAGACTCAATTTGACACAGGTATCAAGGTTTTGCGTACTGATTCTGGTGGGAAATATATTTCTCACAACTTTCAAGAGTACTTGCAGCAAAAGGGGATTCTTTCACAACGTTCTTGTCCATATACGCCTCAGCAAAATGGCATTGCAGAATGCAAAAATCGGCACTTGCTTGATGTTACCCGAACATTACTCCTTCAAGCCCCTGTTCCTTCTCAATTCTGGGTTAGAGCCTTGTTCGCGGCTGTATACTTGATCAACTGCCTCCCATCTCAGGTTTTGGCTTTTGATTATCCTTTCTTTCGTCTCTATAACACTCAGCCAAGTTATGATGATCTTCACACTTTTGGGTGTGTCTGCTTTGTGCACTTGCCACCTCATAAACTCGACGCTCAATCTGTGCAGTGTGCCTTTATGGGTTATTCTCCTACTCAAAAGGGGTTTTTGTGTTATGATGCCATTGCTCAACGCATGCACATTTCTAGAAATGTGATTTTTTTTATTATCAATATTATTTTCCAAATTTTTCTTTTTACTCTAACAGTTTTGTTCCTCTTCATACCTTTGCTGATGTTCCTCGCCCTATAGCACGTTTTAAACCTGGACAGGTATATACTAGACGACCTCCTACTTTGCCCCCTCTCAATGCTGATCCACCGCCTGAACCAGCACCAGTTACACTGCGTCGATCCACTCGCATGCATCGAACACCTGATAGGTATGGATGGGAGTCTACTTCTCTTATTTCTACTTTATCTAGCATACTTATTCTCATGTGTTATTCGCAGGCTGTTAAGGACATGTGTTGGGTAAAGGCCATGCAAGATGAGCTACAAGCTCTTCAGGAGAATTTCACTTGGGACATAGTCCCTTGCCCTCTTGGTGTTAAACCCATTGGTTGCAAATGGGTGTACTCTGTGAAGCTAAATTCAGATGGTTCTCTAAATCGTCATAAGGCCCGGTTGGTTGCTTTGGGTAACAAACAAGAATATAGGGTAGATTATGATGAGACTTTTGCACTTGTGGCAAAGATGACCACTGTCTTCACAATCCTTTCTATTGCTGCCTCTAAAGGCTGGTCCCTATATCAAATGGATGTGAAGAATGCATTTCTTCACGGTGATTTAGCAGAGGATATTTTTATGAAACCTCCTCCAGGCTTGTTTTCTTCCTCTGAAGGCGTGTGCAAACTCAAGCGTTCTTTATACGGCTTGCGACAGGCTCCTCGGGCATGGTTTGAGAAATTTCGATCTACCCTTGTATTTTCTTTTACACAGAGCCAATATGATTCCTCCTTATTCATTCATCACACGTCCGCTGGTATTTTTCTTCTTCTCATTTATGTTGACAACATGATCATTACTGGCACTGATCAAGCGTCCATACAACTACTTAAACAGCAGCTTCAAGCTTCCTTTCACATGAAGGATCTTGGATATCTTCACTATTTTCTTGGGGCTTGAGGTTCATTCTGACTCCAAAGGTATTTTTCTCAATCAGCACAAGTATACCGAGGACTTAGTTTCTTTGGCTGGTCTTCAGTTTGTTGTCCCTGTAGATACTCCTCTTAAAGTTAATGTCAAATATATCGTGATGAGGGTCATCTTTTGCCTGATCCTTTATTATATCGTCAATTGGTGGGAAGTCTTAACTATTTGACTATTACACGTCTGGGTATTTCCTTTGCAGTACAACAAGTTAGTCAATTCATGCACACTCCTCGTCATCTTCATTTGGTTGTTGTTTGCCGCATCATTCTCTATTTAAAAGGAACTTCTCATCGGGGATTATTTTTTCCGGCCAATACATCTCTTACTTTGCTTGCCTATAGTGATGCCGATTGGGCAGGTTGTGTTGATACATGAAGGTCGGTGTCCGGTTGGTGCATGTTCTTTGGTCCTGCCTTAATATCTTGGAAGAGCAAAAAGCAAGCCCGGATTTCCAAGTCATCCACTGAATCTGAATATCGAACTATGTCCACTGCTTGCTCTTAAATAACTTGGCTTCGTGGTTTAATGGCTGAACTCGGATTCCCTCAAACCAATGTTACGCCTCTCCATGCTGACAACACGAGCGCTATTCAAATTGCTACTAATCCAGTTTTTCATGAGCGCACTAAGCATATTGAAGTGGATTGTCACTCCATTCGTGAGGATCTTGATGATCATGTTATCTCTCTTCCACATGTCTCCTCGCAGCTTCAGCTTGCAGATATCTTCACTAAAGCGGTTCCTCGTCCCCGTCACCAGTTTCTCCTTAGCAAATTGATGCTTCTTAACAAACCGCATCAATTTGAGGGGGGTGTCAATGAGGATATATGTCATTTTTGGTTGTTTCCTATTTTATGTTTTGAGAAATCAGAAAATTGAATCAAGAATATTCCCATTTGAATGTATAGAATTAGACTTCCTAATTTAGGTTATACAACTTAGGAAATAGAGTTAATTAGTCATTATTACTTGTAAATGTAATTGTATTATATATAGAAGAGAATAGAAACAGAGAAGACATCAAGCCAATTACATTTGACAACAACCACATAGTGTACCAAAGTCACTTTCAAAATTTTGAGATTATTCATCATTATATGAAAACTTTACCAAACCATCGCAGCAGACAGAACATGTTAGACAGAAAAGTCGCCAAAAAAAATCACCAGCCTCTAGAGATAGTTAGAAATGATTTTGTTTGAACAAATGATAAACACAAGGACATAAAAATGGTGTTCACTTCAACCGAACTACCATTTAAGAACACTAGTATAGAAAATTTTGCTGTCAAATGCGAATAGTGTCTTGATTTTTAATCACTAAGTGAAAATATTAAGAATCAAGAGGAAGGAAATGAGAGTTAAGGAGATGGAAATGTAGTCTCCAAGTTTGCTGCATAAGAGTCGTGCCTCGGTTAGTGAGGGAAAAAACGTAACAAATGTCAGATATAAAACACACAACAAGCATGCCCTTGGATGTAGAATGAACCTAAGACCAAAAAAATAATATAGATTACCCAGATCTTTCATGTGAAATGAGGCTTGTAATTGTTGCTTAAGTCGCTGAATGGAAGCAGGATCCGAACTAGTAATAACCATATACACAACATACAAAAGAAACAGAACAATACCCGCAGATGTGCTATGAATAAATAAAGATGAACCATACTGACTCTGAGTAAAGGAGAGTCCAAGTAGAGTGGAGCAGAATTTCTCGTACCATGCTCTAGGTGTCTGTTTCAAACCATATAAGGAGCGTTTGAGCTAACACACGCCTTTAGATGAAGAGAATAAGTCTTGAGGTGGAGTCATAAATATCTTCTGTCAGGTCACCATGAAGAAAAGCATTCTTCACATCCATTTGATGTAGAGTCCACCCGTTAGAAGCAGCTATAGAGATGATCGCGCGGACAGTTGTCATTTTGACAATCGGTGCAAATGTCTCATCATAATCTGTTCTATATTCCTGCTTGTTTCCTAATGCAACCAAACGAGCCTTGTAACGATTGAGAGACCCATCAGAATTCAATTTCACAGAATACACCCATTTGCAACCTATAGGTTTTACATTAGGAGGGCAAGAGACAATATCCCACGTGAAATTCTCTTGAAGAGCTTGAAGCTCTTTATTTATTGCTTTTATCCATCACACCTCCTTAACAGCCTGTGAGTAACAAATAGGAATAGATATGCTAGAGAGTGTGGAAGTCAGAGAAGTATGTGAGGAATCGTACATGTCTGGTGAATATCTATCTGGTGCGCGAGATATTCGACCAGAACGCCGTGGGTTAGCCGGTACAGGATCAGGTGACGGTTCAGTGTCGGGAAGGGGTGTGGGAACCTGCTGCCTGTCTTTTCTGACATATACATGACCTGGTTTATAACGTTCTATAGATTGAGACATAATAGAAAACTTAGGAAGAGTAACAATATCATTAATGGTAGGAGAAACACAGGAAAACATAAACTGATTATCAAAAAATGTCACATTTCTATTAATACGAAAAACGATGGTTAGTGACATCATAACACACAAATCCCTTATGAGAGTGACTATATCCCATAAATACACATTGAACAGATTGTGCTCCAAGCTTATGCCTTTCAAAAGGAGGTAAGTGAACAAAACACACACACACACAAAAATATGTAAAGCACTATAATCAGGATGAATTTAAAAAGGCGAAAGAAAGGAGAGTCAAGTTTAATAACCGTAGAAGGAAGACGATTGATCAAGAAGACAGCTGAGGAAAAAGCCTCCACCCAAAATCGGGATGGTACAAAAGCTTGGAGGAGCAATGTGTGTCTTACATCAAAGAAATGACGATTCTTACGTTCTGCCATACCATTTTGTTGAGGGATATTGGGACAAGATCGTTGCGAAAAGATGCCTTTTTGTTGAAGGTATTCCTGAAACGTGTGAGACATGTACTCACCACCAGAGCCAGAGCGAAGAATTTTCACACTTGCTTGAAATTGAGTTTCAACATATGTCAAAAATTTCTTAAACATAGAAAACACTTCAGATTTAGACCGAAGGAAATATATCCAAACAAAGCGACTATAATCATAAATAAATGTGACAAAATATTTATAGTGAGAATGAGAAACTACAGGAGACGTACCCCATACATTACTATGAATCATTTCAAAACAAGTGGAAGCACGATAAGCACCAGATGGAAAAGGAAGTGTTTTACTCTTAGCCAATTTGCAAACAGAACATGAAATAGAGGCATTAGAAACATTTTTATTTCCCAACAAACCATTTTTAAATAAATGGGACAAAACAGCAGAGTTTGGATGACCTAATTTTCTATGTCAATCCTCATAAGAGTTTAAAACATTATTACAAGCAAGAGATATATGATTAGAAATAAACTGGAGTGGAAACAGTCTTCCCACTTTAGGCCCCTTCGCGATCACCTTTCCCGATACATGCTCCTGCACAAGACAACCATCACGAGAAAAATTAACATCATAATTTTTATCTACCAATTGACCAACAGATGATAAATTAGACGCAAGTCCAGGCGATACAAGCACGTCCCAGAAATCAGAATTTATGTCGCCAATATCAGTAATAGATAAAGTATTACCATCAGCTATTTGAATTTTCTGATTACCATGATAAGAGTGTAAATTGTGCAAATACTCTGAAGAATCTGTCATGTGATTGGATGCACCCGAATCAAGAAACCATGGGCGAGAAACATTAGAAGACTTATCCTGAATTCCCAAGGCCGAAAGAGCGGAAAGTACCATTTGTTGAATCAATTCAGGTTGTATAGCACTATTGTTTGATACGCCATTAGTGGAAGGACCGACCACATGATTTGTAGTTGCATGGAATGCCTGTGCTGAACGTTGTGTTGGTCGTGGAGGACGTGTGGAACACTCAGAGATAATATGGCCCCGTTTCTTGCAGTAATTACAAAACTTCTTATTGCAACTACGAGCAATATGACCAAATTGTTTGCAAGAAAAACATTGAACCTGTCTCATATCCCGACTTTTACCTTTACATTGAGCAGCATATGCGACCGTCACGGGCTAGGAAATGGTAGCATCATGAGACATGGCTCCTTGAGTAATAAGAAGTTGTTCCTCCCTTAGAAGTTCTCCAACACATGTATCTAAAGAAGGAACGGGATTCCTATTCAGCAAGGCACCTCTGACAACTTCAAACTTTGGACGTAATTTCATGAGAAATTGATCTCGTCCACTTGTGTTGTAAACCTCTTGAATAACCGCGAAAGAGGTCTTGAAAACATTAGCATGTATAATAGCAGAGTGTTCTGCCCAGAGATTTAAAAAACCAGAA